TCGCAGCGAGGGAACAGCCAGAAGGCCCTCAGCGCTGGACCTCAGCGTCCGGGCAGAATGATGGAGGTGGAGACGCTCCTTCAGGTATACTGGACCGAGGCCGTTTAGGGCTTTCAAGGTCAGCACCCACATTTTGAATTGTGCTCGGAAATGTACTGGGAGCCAGTGTAGGTCTTTCAAGACTGGTGTTATGTGGTCTCAGCGGCCGCTCCCAGTCACCAGTCTGGCTGCCGCATTCTGGATTAGTTGCAGTTTCCGGGTCAAGCGAGATAAGTCCAGGAGGGGAAAGTCCACTCAACTTCAACTCCATCCAAACTTTTCCTCCCCTCTCTCCTCCTGTTAGGATTCTTCTGGTCCTTTTTTGCCATTTTGGCACAATCCATCGATTTAATCTGCCATTCTTCTCTGTAGGGACTTCGTCTTCTTTCCATCTCTGGGTCAGCCTAGCACAGATTCCAGGACACTCCCCACCTGGCAAGCTTCTCAGACTTTGGGATTCTTCCATGGCATGGCTTACCTCCTGCCCTTTGCAAACATTCCTCTTACAAGTTCTGCCTGGAGACACGACCCACACCTTTGAGTGCAAAGGCCACAGGCAGATGGTGCAACGCAGCAGCCCAGCTTGACACACACACACACACACACACACACACACACACACCTGGCAGGCTTCAAGGTTCTGCAAACAGTCTGAACTAGCAGGAAAAGGTTTTCTTCTTGAGACTACCTTTTGTTTCCCTTCCTCACCTACGGACTAGCCATCTCCCTACCTGGGATTAAGGTACCCTGTATTGTAGTGTTTTGTTGGAAGCCGCCCAGAGTGGCTGGGGAAACCCAGCCAGATGGGCGGGGTATAAATAATAAAATTATTATTATTATTATTATTATTATTATTATTATTATTATTATTATTATTAATGCTTCCAGGTGCCATTAGAAAGCTGCAGAGATAGCGCAGGATAGTGCGCACCCCGGAAATGATCTCTTTCAGCTACTGCCTTCTGGAAGAAGGTGTAGGGACACGGTGCTGTGGGTAAAACCTCAGTGCCTAGGACTTGCCAATCGTATGGTCGGCGGTTCGAATCCCTGCGGTGGGGTGAGCTCCCGTCCTTTGGTCCCAGCTCCTGCCCACCTAGCAGTTCGAAAGCACTCTTAAGTGCAAGTAGATAAATAGGTACCGCTTTACAGCGGGAAAGTAAACAGCGTTTCCGTGTGCTGCGCTGGTGCTGGCTCTCCAGAGCAGCTTCGTCACGCTGGCCACGTGACCCGGAAGTGTCTCCGGACAGCGCTGGCCCCCGGCCTCTTAAGTGAGATGGGTGCGCAACCCCAGAGTCGGACACGACTGGCCCGTACGGGCAGGGGTACCTTTACCTTTACAGGGTTATAAAGACTAGGACCAGCCTGCCTGAGAAACAGTTTCCATCCAAATGCGATTTTGGTTTTAAACGCAGTGTAAGGTAGTCTCTAGGGATGTGGGTGGCGCTGTGGGTTAAACCACAGAGCCTAGGGCTTGCCGATCAGAAGGTCGGCGCTTCGAATCCCCGCAATGACGGGGTGAGCGCCCATTGCTTGGTCCCTGCTCTTGCCAACCTAGCAGTTCGAAAGCACGTCAAAGTGCAAGTAGATAAATAGGTACCGCTCCGACGGGAAGGTAAACGGCGGTTCCGTGCGCTGCTCTGGTTCGCCAGAAGCGGCTTAGTCCTGCTGGCCATATGACCCTGTATGCCGGGTCCCTCAGCCAACAAAGCGAGATGAGCGCCACAACCCCAGAGTCGGTCACGACTGGACCTAATGCTCAGGGGTCCCTTTACCTTTAAGGTAGTCTCTATGGGAGTATATGTATTTAATGATGGGGTATCAGAGTTTTTAGGGGGCTAACCAAGCTAGGATTTCAGGCTTGTTGGTTTCTGAATGTCTGATGTAGATTTTCAATTCCGTTGTTCTGTATGGGACAATGACAATAAAGATTATCGTATCGTATTATCATATCGATAGAACTTTGTTTCCTCCACAAATTCGTCCAGTTCTCTTTTAAAGCCATCCAAACTGGTGGCCGTCGTTGCATCCTGTGGCAGTCAGTTCCGCAGTTTAACTGCGCACCCAGAGCCAGATTTAGGTCTGATGAACTACTGAAGGTAACGGGGCCCTTTATATGTCCAGCTGTCCTTTGCCAACAACAAATGGTCGCTGTTTTTCATGTTGGATATATGCTACGAGTTCCGTAGAAACCGTCGGAAGAGCTAAAAACAAAAATACCTTATTTTTTGCTCTATAAGACTCACTTTTTCCCTCCTAAAAAGTAAGGGGAAATGTGTGTGCGTCTTATGGAGCGAATGCAGGCTGCGCAGCTATCCCAGAAGCCAGATCAGCAAGAGGGATTGCTGCTTTCACTGTGCAGCGATCCTTCTTGTTGTTCTGGCTTCTGAGATTCAGAATATATTTTTTTTCTTGTTTTCCTCCTCCAAAAACTAGGTGCGTCTTATAGTCTGGTGCGTCCTATAGAGTGAAAAATATGGTAACAGTGGACACTCGGGTTGCGAACGTGATCCGTGCGGGAGGCACATTCGCAACTCACAGCGTTCGCAACCCGCAGCGCCACATCTGCGCATGTGCGGGTTGCGATTCGGCGTTTCTGCGCATGCGCGAGCGCCAAAACCCAGAAGTAGCCCGTGTCAGTATTTCCGGGTTCGGCACGGTGCGCAACTCAAAAACGCGCAACCTGAAGCGTCTGTAACCCGAGGTATGACTGTACAGGAAAGGGCTTCGGATGTCCTGCCGAGTGCAGTGAAGAGGCAGCGCTCTCCCTGTTGGATTTCGGCCTGTGGTTGTTGTTGTTGTTTGAAAGCCTGGGCCTGGAAACCAGGGCAGCACCTCCTGACTGTCAGAGAAGGTGACTCAGGTTACGTAGATGGAGAAACGAAAGGTCACCGCTTCCTCGACTTGCCAAGGCTGTGATTGCACTGCTGCCAGCCCTCTCTCTCTCTCTCTCACACACACACACTGAACGCATACAAATCTATTTGTGCAATCTGAACACAGCTCCCTCCCACCTTGCGACGCCGTTCCTGGCAGGGGCCCGTGTGCGTCGTCGAGCGTTTACACAGAGGAAGAGATAAATATATCTGCAAGCCTTGCCTACGTCAAGAGTTTGCAGGGAGTGGAGGCTGACAAAAAGTGTCCTGGCAGGATCGGTGGAAGGGCTTTGAAGCCCCGATCCTGCGCCGCCGCAGCGGCACAGACCCTTCCTTTCAAAGGAGACGCGTCGTATTAGTCTCATTCATGAATGCATTTATATTCCAGCTTTTTCCGACCAACGAGGTGGCTGGCGCGGCTATGCTCTCTGTCTCTCTTTTCCCCCACCCGAATCGGTACAACAACCCTGTGAGGGGGGTTATGCCGTGAGAGGCAGCTGCTGGGCCAAGGTCACCCAGCGAGCTTCGTGGCCAAGGGCTGGGGATTCGAACCCTGATCTCTCCCCGCTCCTAATGCGATGCTCTAACCACTAGTGGGTTAAACCACAACCACTCTGGGGTTGCGGCGCTCATCTCGCTTTACTGGCCGAGGGAGCCGGCGTACAGCTTCCGGGTCATGTGGCCAGCAGGACTAAGCCGCTTCTGGCGAACCAGAGCAGCACACGGAAACGCCGTTTACCTTCCCGCCGGAGCGGTACCTATTTATCTACTTGCACTTGATGTGCTTTCGAACTGCTAGGTTGGCAGGAGCAGGGACCGAGGAACGGGAGCTCACCCCGTCATTGCGGGGATTCGAACCGCCGACCTTCTGATCGGCAAGTCCTAGGCTCTGTGGTTTAACCCACAGCACCACCCGCGTCCAGGTATTTGTCTCAAAACAGGAGTATTTACTGGAGATGACCTTGAGGTCTAGCACCTTGACTACCATCTGAATGCCAAACAAATGCCCAGCCGCCAAGCCCCTACACCTCTGTAAGGATACAAGGTGACCTGAATTCTCCCTCTCCCTCCTTGCTACTATTTCCTCTTTCGCTGCCCGTATGTTTTCATTTCCCTGTCCTTGAGATCCAGTGACTCAGCCCGCAAAAAAAACAGCTCTCATTTGTCATTTTCTGTTTAGACTTTTTGATTCACCCAGAAACACGGTTGGGCTCTGAGGCATCGGCTGAGTGTTCTAGGCGAGAGCCGCAAACAAACAAAGGAAATGTTTTTCGGCCGGGCAAACAAGGGGCGGGGGGAGCTTCGCCGGTTGGATTTCTGCCTGCCTGGCCACCATTGGGTTTTTAAAAATCCTTTTAAGGGCAGGCTCCAATTCACGCCGGGACGCAGGTGGCACTGTGGGTTAAACTACAGACCCTAGGACTTGCCGATCAGAAGGTCGGCGGTTCGAATCCCCACGATGGGGTGAGCTCCCGTTTCTCTGTCCCAGCTCCTGCCAACCTAGCAGTTCGAAAGCACGTCCAAGTGCAAGTAGATAAATAGGTACCACTCCAGCAGGAAGGTAAACGGCGTTTCCGTGCGCTGCTCTGGTTCGCCAGAAGCGGCTCAGTCCTGCTGGCCACATGACCCGGAAGCTGTACGCCAGCTCCCTCGGCCAGTAAAGTGAGATGAGCGCCACAACCCCAGAGTCGGCCACGACTGGACCTAATGGTCAGGGGTCCCTTTTACCATTTACCTTCATTGCACGGGGTTGGGCTGGATGACCTTTGGGGAGCCCTTGCAACTCATAAGGTTGTCTGGTTTGGGGGCTTGTGGCAGGACGCCGAGTGGGAAGCATGGAGCGGCCGCCACGGGCAACTGGCCCAGAAAGAGAGAGGGAGGGAGAGGGAGAGATTGAGAGTGGCAGCCAAAGTCTGGCAAGCGGCCGTCTATGCTCAGTGTTGCGTCAGCGCCAGTGTGCAAATCCCTTTGCTGAGTCTGCAATGCTCAGCAGGGCTCTTTTCTCTCCCTCTCATTCTTTCCCTCCTCCTCCCTCCCTCCCTCCCTCCTCCTCCTCCCTCTCCCAAGCCCCACCCAGCATAATGTGACTGTCAGCCCTTGGGTTCTGTGTGGGATAAAAACTTTTCGCGCACCTCCCGAACATTTCATTTAATAAAAAAAAAGAACCACGCAAAACCGCAGCGCTGCTGGCTGGAAGGAGCGAGAGACTCGGCTGAGCACCACAGGCAAAGCGGACGACGCCTCTGGAGAAGGATTACATACATATTTTTCCTCCCTCTTTGTAGGGAAGGGGCGAGATTCACCTTGCGCTTTTTTTTCTTTCCCCCTTGCCACATCCGCAAGAAAGGATCATTTCTTCTCCCGAAGGGTTTCCCCGCCACGTGAGGACCTGCCAACCCGTCTGGAGACAAAGGATACAATTTTCCGCTTTGGGGAGAAATTTCCTGAAAGGGTGTTTTTTTATTTCGTTTTCGGGAGCGATTCGGCGGAGAAGGCGGCGTCTCCTGGCGGATTTTGGTGAGTCCCTTTATGGCCCGACGCGGTTTGGGTTCTCTTGTAAGGAGATCCTTTTCCCCACACCCGGGCGGTGGGGCCCGTCCGTGCCTGGCTCTTGCTCCTCCGGGGTCGAATCCTGCGCCGCTTCGGCAATTCCTTCCCCCACCCATTCCTACCCCCACCCCCCATCTCGAAGGGAAATGCTCTCAAACGGGCTCCTCTCCAAACCGGCTAGACAAAAGAGTTCCCAGGGAAACGCCTGGCTTCGCTCAAGCCTCCTTCCCGTGGATCACATTTCAGAAGATCCCTTTGACATTTTCCATGTCGTCGCTGGGGCTTCTGTGAGGAGAAGGGTTAGGGGAGGTGGGGGCAGGCAGGCAGAAATCAAAACCAGTCTTTCCACCGTGAAAAATCCGTCACGCGTTTGGGTTTCAATTGCCACTGCGGCTGTGCGTTTTTACGCACGCACTGGTCTATCGAACAGACAGACTCACACGGGTCTATTGTACACGAACGCACGTCTGTTTCGTGCACACACGGGTCTATCTATCTCTCTCTCTCTCTCTCACACACACACACACACACACACACACGTGTCTGCCTTACAAGCACACAGAGAGTCAATTCACACACACACACACGTAACCCATGAGACTTGCTTCACTGAGTAAGCTTGCAAAGCGCGCGCCGCCGTGGAGCTTACTCCCGAGCAAGCGGGGAAAGCGCCTCAGATCGGGCCTCCTGGAGTCCCACGAACTAGCAGCCAATGGATATTTGCATTTTCTCTCTCTCTCTCTCTGCTCCCCCCTTATAAAGAAATTTCACCGGGTTATCGGGAAGGCTCTCCGAAGGATACCCTGATATTTTTTTGGAGAGGGGGCTCTTGCGGAGGGCGGGGGGGGAGGAGGAGACTCACACCATTCATCAAAAGCTCCTTTCTTTTACATCCGAGTCCCCCCCCCTCCTACCCGCCTTTGCCGTGTTAGAGAGAGACGAGAGCCAGATACTCCTCAAGAATAATCTTCTGTTCTTGCGGATAAGAGACTCAGCCAAATTCCGGGGTGGGGTGCGGGTGGCCCCCTCCGCCCAAACAAGATTACCTCCCCCCCAATACACACCACTAGAAATATATATATATATACACAGCATCCATTTATCCTGTTTAAATGCAGATGCAGAGAGCCCTGTGGTCATGAGAGACCAAAACCATTTGAGATTTTATTGGAGGGGGGGGCGGCGAGAAAAATAATAATCGTCCTGGTCTGATGTTTCTGTCGGGGGTGCCGAAAAAGAGAGACTTGTGTGCTCTTTAGCTTTCCCAACACAGCCCAGCCTAAGCTCCCTTCCTTGAGGGCTAGAGGCTTAATTCACACACACACACGGGTGTTTCTCGGGAAGCTGCAAAACTGCAAAATTCCTTAAACAATTTTCGGGTTTGTGTGGGTGGGTGTTTTCTTCATTTTTTGAAGCGGGGTTGTTATAACACCGCCTCTCTCCTCTGTCTTTCCATGGACTTCTCTGTCCAGCTACGGAAATGGAAGGCAAATTTGTGCCTTAAATTTGTGGAAAGAAAGCCACTTTTGGAGAGAGAAAAATTAGATTTGGAAACTCCAGTCCTTAATCTAACTGGCTTATTTTTCAAGACGGAAGGGCATCTCCCATTGCTCGATTCAGCTGTGGGGTTTTGGGGGGGGCGGATTTTTGCTTTGCCAAAAACTGGGGAGTCGGAGGAGCCACGCAAACCATACAGAAGACCCACACCCTGAAATGTATTCTGCCCACGTAGATATTCCTCTCCGTGCGTCTCCCACCCGCTCGCATTGTTTAACGCTGCCCATTCATCTGGTCTCCCGTTCCCCCCGCCCTCTTCCTCTTCCCACCCCGCATTTCCATAACCCGATCAAAGGGGGGGGCTACTTTAGCCTCCAAGGACAGAACCCCCCCCCCCGCCGCCCTTATGCCTCTAGTCTAGGGCGCCGCTTCCAGGAGGGGTTCCTGGGCTCATATGTCACAGTGTCACACCCGCAAAGAGTGTGGCAGCACCTTAATTTCGGTTCTGGAAAGGGGCAGGGCCTCAGCTCCCACCTGGCTGACCTAAGCACCTTGCACTTTGAACCCCAGCCGCATGAGATCCACCATTGTTTGCTCCCTGGTCAAATGCAGTCTGTGCGTATTCAGAAGCCTGCAAGGAAACTATGCCTGTGTTTGGATAGTACTGGAGAATAGCCTTGGCCGTGTGTGTGTGTGTGTGTGTGTGTGTTTTTCCAGACTTTATTTCTTATTTTTATTCATTGCACTTATATGGCGCCTTTCTCAAGGTGACGCAGGTGGTGCTGTGGGTTAAACCACAGAACCTAGGACTTGCCGATCAGAAGGTCGGCAGTTCAAATCCCCGCGATGACGGGGTGAGCTCCCGTTGCTCGGTCCCTGCTCCTGCCCACCTAGCAGTTCGAAAGCACGTCAAAGCGCAAGTAGATAAATAGGTACCACTCCGGCGGGAAGGTAAACGGCGCTGCTCTGGTTCGCCAGAAGCGGCTCAGTCCTACTGGCCACATGACCCGGAAGCTGTACGCCGGCTCCCTCGGCCAGTAAAGCGAGATGAGCGCCGCAACCCCAGAGTCGGCCACGACTGGACCTAATGGTCAGGGGTCCCTTTACCTTCTTCCCAAGGTAGAGCACCTAGTTCTTCCCCTCCTCATTTAATCCCCCAAAACAACCCTGTGAGGTAGGTCAGGGCTGAGAGGCAGTGGCAAGGCCACCAAGGTGACCCAGTGAATTTCATGGCTGGGTGAGGGTCTCTCTCCCAGGTCCTAGCGCTCATTTGATCTCTCTGAGGTGGCTGCCCCCACCCCAAGCCCCTCAGCTTCGTGGCTGAGCCAGGATTCAAACCCTGGTCTCTCCCAGCCTAACCACCGCACCGCGATGGCTCTCCGTTGTTCCAGGCAACCATTGCGACTGCCTCTTTCGCGAGCCTGTTGCGCCCATTTCACACACCTGCTCCACTGAGGCACCGGGTTTCCTTTCCCTGCTGAAATAAGCCAGAGTTACTCCCTTATCTAATAACCTCCGTGGGAGAAAGAGGAGAGGCTGGAGGCTGGGATCTCTTCGCTCTGAGGACTTCTGGAGGTGGGAACTATCGCATAAATCTTTCCCTGCGCCTTTGGTTAAGAAAGGAGGTGAGTGGGCGAGCCAAGAATGTGTCATTCGGGCACTTGGGTTCGTTCCCCCCCCCCAAACGCCCTGTGCGGTTGGCAGAGGCTGTTGAGGAGTACGGCATGGGGCACCCTCCTGCCTCGCTGCTTTCAGACCTGCGCACACCTCGAGCGTCGGGGGGGGGGCAAAGCCGCGATGGCGCTCTTGCGTTTCGCGGAAGGTCGTTGCGCTGCTGGCAAAGGTGGGGCTGGCATGGCCCCCTTTTGCCAGGCGTCGCAAGCTTCCGGGTGGCCAGGGACTCCTCGTCAGAGAAGGACAAAGAGCCCGGTGTGACCCAGAAGCTTGCTCTTAGGCCAAAGAGGTGCCAATCTTCCAAGGAAGCTGAGTGTGGCACTCGCAGCCTGCTAGGACCTCGGGCTTACTGGGCCAAAGTTGGGGGCAAAGGGAGGGTCTCCAGAATGGCTCGGAGGTGTTCCTCACCCGGCAGCCTTCTGTTCCTACAAGATAGGACCATGCGTAAAAAAAGCACTCTCCCATGAGGAGAGGGTTGGGTGGCATTTCCCAGCGCCTGTGTTTTCCGCTTAACTTTTTCCACGCCTTCCAGCAGTGGCAGTGTGCATCCCATAATTCTCCTGCTTCCCTTTATTTTGCCGAAAAAGGATCTCTCTCTCTCTCGCTCTCTCTCTCTGGCCTGCCTTGCAGATCTGCACCCCACATTTAAAGCACATTCGGCGCCCATTTAAAGCACCCTCCACACAAAGAATCGTGGGAACTGTAGTTCCAGGGCGCTAGGGATTGAGGCTCAGTGGCGGTGCAAACTGCAGTTCCCGGAATTCTTTGTAAGGGGGGGGACAGGTGCTTAAAATGCAAAGGGCAAGGGCCTTTGTTTTGGAATCTATCTGCAATGCCTTTCCTCCGCAGCAAACTGCACTCTGCACATGCCCCTGTTCCTTTCGCCCAGCTGAGCCCGCTTTGGACTGAAGAGTCCCTGTGACATATTCAGGTGTAGATTTATTTGGGTAGGTGAGCATCTCTTGCTCCCAAACCCCTTGCAAGCCCCTTCCTGAAAGGGCACTCACTACGTGTTAAACCCCAATACGCAGAGTTAAAGATAAAGGGACCCCTGACCATTAGGTCCAGTCGTGCCGACTCTGGGGTTGCGGCGCTCATCTCGCTTTACTGGCCAAGGGAGCCGGCGTACAGCTTCCGGGTCATGTGGCCACCAGGACTAAGCCGCTTCTGGCGAACCAGAGCAGCGCACGGAAACGCCGTTTACCTTCCCGCAGGAGCGGTACCTATTGATCTACTTGCACTTTGACGTGCTTTCGAACTGCTAGGTTGGCAGGAGCAAGGACCGAGGAACGGGAGCTCACCCCGTCATTGCAGGGATTTGAACCACCGACCTTCTGATCAGCAAGTCCTAGGCTCTGTGGTTTAACCAGAGTTAGGTTTAAGCAGAGTTAGGCCTGTTGAAATTAAAGGACTTAAACCAGCCATGTCCGTCAATTTAAACCCGTAAGTAGGAATTAGATATATGACTTGGGTATTTTGGATCTTTAAAAAATCTACCTCCCTCTGAAAAACAGGTCAAAAGGGAGGGAGGGGAGGAACATTATTTTTTAAAAGAAATCTGCATCAAAGATATACCGTTTTGCTTATGAAACTCTCTTAAGCTTTCATACAGCCCCCCCCCCTTTTAAAAAAATATTATGGGATCGGCGGTTCACCACTGACAGGCGATTTCAGCCCTTTGGCCTGGTCACCCCTCGTGACTCCCCACCCCCACCCCCAAATATGCCTTAACCCCCCCATCCACCTATTGTTCCTGGGGCTTTTAAATCTCCCCTTTTTCCACCAGGGGGTGCCCT